CAATGACGTTTTGCAATCCATGTAACTGACCCCACCTAGTGGGATAATGGCTTGTTGTTGTTGTTTATGAAATAAGTCCATTTGATAAGGATTTGGGGTGTTATAATGCATAAAAGTGGTCCTTTATCCCCAAGTGTTATAAGTTTTTTATATGTGTTATTGCCTTGAGAAACGTAAATAAAGCACACCCTTGTAAAACCTGGGCTGAGATGATTTTCCAAATTATTTATTTGTTATAAAAAATCAAATGGAGGAACAATTTGACCATTGAAGGTGACTAACTGAAGGTATATTAATTTGAATATTGAAGTGCGGTTTGGAAGCGTAGTAAAAATTTGATCTGCTTGGATGATAGTTTACTAAATCTAACTATAAATATTTGATTTTTGTATTTAGGATCATGTGTTGAATTGTAGCTATTTTATGTGCAAATGCATGGAGAAATGGTGCCCTGAAGTGGCTAGTAGTCTTTTTGTTCTTCCTTGCAAAAGCCAAGGCAAATATTTTAGGACAGCTGTCCACTCTTATTTTCCCTTATGCCATGTCGACAGTTAAATTATCTTATTTTATCCCTCTTGATAACTTGTTGCCAAAGACTACATTGGATTGGAAGTCAATCTTTTATCAAGGCAAAAAAAATATACTGTCTTTTGGGAAATAGGAAAAGAGAAAGGACATCAATCATATTTTGCCTGGCGACTTAAGGCCATGTTCATCGCATTGAAATTTTTTTATATATATGGAATAAGGTTGGGCAGTAATGCTTTTCAAGCTGATGACTGTTTGAAAGAGTAAGTTTTTTTAGCTTGTTTCAACTGGATTATCTATGGTAAGTATGCCTTGTAAATATGCTAACAAATTTAACAGTTTTTTTTTTTGTAAGTATTACCGTTTGTACTTTTTTTTTTTTTTGACATATTTACTTTTTTTTACCTCTATTCAGGTATCGTTCTCATAGGAGAGATAGGAGGGACTGCAGAAGAGGATGCTGCTGCGTTAATTAAGGTTTGATTTTACTACATTGGCGCATAAAGTGTTCTTGATGTGTAACATAATTTACAAGTTTTAAATATCGTAGCTTTCTTGTATGAAAGGAAAATAAGTCATCTATCATGCTTCTGGAGATACATGTAATTTTGTTGGTGAAGGTTGTAAATATAATTATGAAGCAGAAACGATGTTGTAAATGTGCTTTCCCCCCCCCCTTCCTTCTGGACAAGAATTTAAATGTTCCTTTGGTTGGAGGGTTACTTGATGATCTACATGGCTCTACATTTTATTCTATTGGAAAAGAGAGCTAGGAATAAAATAGCTAAGAATAGATGGTTAATAATGAAGAGTAATTTATTAAATTCCTATGCATGCACAATTTGTTATGTGAGCCTGCTTAACTCAGAGGTTAGAGCATCACATTGCTCATAGTCATTATTTTTATTATTTTTTTGATCAAATAGTCATTTTATTATTGGTACATGAGTTCTTAAATTGATTTTATGAATGACAATACAGGAAAGCGGTACTGAGAAGCCTATTGTTGCATTCATTGCTGGATTAACTGCTCCACCTGGTCGTCGTATGGGTCATGCTGGAGGTAATTTCTCTTGTGAAGTTTTGTTTCTCATGACATCTGATACAAAATATCATTGCTGCATGTTGTTTGCCATGATAAATATGTGATGAGCGAGTTCATATATATTTCCTTTTCTTTTTTGTTTTGGTCTGTAAGAAGAGATTTGGCCTAGCCTAACTAACCATCCTTCTGATAATTATAATTATGGTTATTCTTAAATGAGGCAACCTTAGTTGCATAAACATGCTACTTGTGTAGCTTACACAATTTTTGCTAACCATTTTTACATTATCTTCATTTAAATCTCCTTTATATTTTTCTTTGGTTTTTTTGGGGGTTTACCTTTGGTCAATGAAGGTTAAATTTGTCAAACTTTTTCTTGGAAACAGGCAATATTCAAAACTGTCAAACCCTTATACTGGGTAACATTCTGCAATTGTCATAGATTGAATTGGTGGTTGAACTTACAAGGCATGCCATGACAAACAGAACCCATGTAGGCAAACAATTTAGTTATCAGTTCAAAATTAGGAGTATTAGAAAAGAGTTATCAGATCAAAATTAATTTCATCAGCTCTTAATTATGCTGGTATCTGTTCGATAGTAACTGTACTTCAACAATTTGCTTCCTTTTGCAGCTATTGTGTCAGGTGGTAAGGGCACTGCACAAGACAAGATTAAGACTCTCAGGGAAGCTGGGGTCACAGTGGTAGAGTCTCCTGCAAAAATTGGGGCTGCCATGCTAGACATTTTCAAGCAGAGGGGCCTAGCTGAGTAGTTCAATTGTTGGACATCTAACTTCATTTACTTTCATCAAAACCTTTGGTTTTTCTGCAAGTTTCAAACACTTGATTCTTGTGAATTATATTGGATCTTTTCTTTCCCCCCGTTTTTTTAAAGCAAAGAGAGATAAATTAAAATAAAAGATATTTTAGGACCTTGAGGCTACTAAAATTTTTTATCAGACCCAATCAGCTCCAATTTCCGTGGTTCTGGAGTGTACACCACTTACCATAGATAATGCCCTTGACGATGAATTTTAAATGACTTCAACTTGCTGTTTCTGCAAGGTTGTTTGCTTTGTAATTCTGTGCTTCTGGGTAAGTTATGGCAATCTTTGTCATAGCATTGCTGTTGCCCAGCCAATTCTTTATTGATGTTTAAAAGGTGCATGTATCATGCACAGGCATGCTTTTCTCTCCTTGCCAAGGTCTACTAGAATGTGTGACAGTTGATTGGTACATTACATTAATTGGCAAGCCGAGGAACAGTTCAGGACAAAACATAAGTAAGTTTGATGATATTTCCTTTTTGTTGCACCTGTTATAGCGATGTGAAGAACTCTATGTGATACAACAGTGAAGTTACAAAACTAGCATTACCGGTTAACATTAATAGTTACTTTCTTCAGATTATGATATAAGAGATCTTCTAAAAATTTTGCCTAGTTCAAAATATAAATTATTAGATGATTTTATATTTGTTTTTTTCAACTATATTTCTATTTCTTTTATTACTGTTTTTTTTTAAATAATGTATTGAAATTTTAATTGCTATTATCAAGGCTCTTGTATAGGTTATTTAATGATGATATAAATGAAAAAATGTGGATATTTTTAAGAATTCAAGATTTTAACTAATATTATTTGTAAACTGGGAATTAGTTAATTATAATTTATATTCTGATTTAGAGGGAGTATTTAACTTTAATGGCTTAAATGTAAATCACACATTCATTCGAATGTTAATTATAAACGTGGTGGAGTTTTGTTACTTACAAGTCAAGTAACTCAATTTGACTTCTTATTTACTCCCTCGACCTGTAATTATTATAACATGCACGGGTGTTGAAAAACAATTAGGTTTAGGAGATGATTTAGATTTTCCCTTTTTTTAGTGTTGTTATCGACTAAATGCCATTATTATCTCAATTTCAAATGCCTTTCTTAAGCATTTTTCGAGAAAAGTATTTTAATTACGACTGAAATTTTGTAAAGTGCCTTGTACTTACAGACGCCATAACTCTAAAACTGGTGTTTTAATATGGATGACGAGTGGGAGTAGTAGGTTCACGGTAAATGTCTACATTTATTATGAAAAGTTGAACCCATCTTTTATTCAATCTGGAGCACTGATTGACATCAATGCATCAGTCAAAGGAGAGCAGGGAATTTAGTCCTGGCAACAAAGGAAAGCTGTGTAAAAATAAAAGTGAGCAATCCTAACTGTCCAAATTGCAAACATGGAAGTGTAGACCATTGAATATCTGTTCTTGTGCCCTTGGACAAGGAAAGACATTCAAAATCAATATTCATGGCTATTTTGTACTAGTGAGCTTGAATCATGAAGGGGGTTTCATTAAAGCAGAATACAAGAGTTCAAGGAGGGGTGAGGCATGCATTGAAACAGATTGTGAGGAGAATGCCTATGAATCTTTGAGGAATTGATTGGAGTGAAGAAATCTCTTTAGGTATGCTATTTTTACTTGGTTTCTCGCCAAGATAATTCATGAAGAGGTATTATTCACTCAAAACCAGAAGCTAATATGTTTTCCATTTACTTGCCAAATAAGTTAAAGTAATGATATTTCCCCTATGCAATGAAGGCAGGGCCACAACATTCAGAAGGTCTTCATTCTTTATTCTTGACGAGATATCTTACTGAAATTACTTTATCATCAGTAATTCTACCTCTCAAGCCCGAGGGTTTAGTCAGCCTTCTCCAACCTAATCCTTGTTCTCCAATATTTGTGGTCTTGGCTGCGATGTTTGCAAACAATTCTTTATAGACAAGGAATACTAGGTAACTTCAGAGGACCTCTACTAGTTATAATGTGAATGTCTGATGCAACTTGAAACACTTTATATTTCCATTTTGCTTCTTCCAACTAAAAAATTATCGAGAGCCCTTATACTTTTTCTTTCTTTCTTTCTTTCCTTCCTTTTCCCCCCTTGAATGCCAAAGGTATCCTCCCAACTTATTGGATCAAAGTAAGTTGAGTCTTGTAAGCTTATTAAGGCCAACATATGTTTCTAAATTCAAAGAATGCTCATAAAAATATTTACAATCATTCATCAACACAGTCCTCATATTGACACCATGATTTGAATCCATGACTCCATGATATATAGGCTACATTTTCACTTATTAAACACAGTTAAATACTAAATATAGACATTTCTTTTAGTAAGGATTTGACGTTGGATCTATGATGTTTTGAAAGATTAATCCTATTTGCTAGATTTATATTTGTTGCCATTCTAAGCCCACATATATTTGTTTTGTTCTTGTTTCTCTTAGGCCCAAAAGGTGGCAGGCTGGCCCATTTTAAAGAGCTGTCGCACGTGCACAGTGAACACTTGGCTCCAAAACCGAAAACCTCGGTTGTTATATTAGTTCATTTAGTTGTCGCGCACTGTCAATACTTTGGTTTTTAATTATTTTGGGACCATGCTTCTTGTCTGGTAGGATCCTCGTACCGCTGGGCTGCTTTTCTCTTCTGAAAATTTTTCTTCTTTTGGGATATTTGGTAAATTCGGAATCATACTCTGTTCTCTGTTCCCACCATTTCCAGATCCCTAAGCATCCCTTTCCCGAGTCCCGCCACTAGTTTCGGATTGAATTGCAATGCAATCACACTCAATTCCAGGCTTTTGAACCACTCATCACTTTCTCGGGTGGTTCTGATAAAAATTGAAGACGCTCCCTTTAGTTAACTTCGTTCTGATATTGTTGGGAAGGTTGATCCCGTGAATAGAAGTGTGAAATCTGGGTCGAACCAGAGCAGTTCGGCGGCAATGCAGGTTACGGCGACTACTTCACAGTCCAATCTATTGAACAATCTCTCTCTCAAGAGCTTTAAACTCAAGACCAAGCAGCAGGAGCTGCTGATCCGGGTTACGATTCTATGCCTCGTCTATGTGTTGGCTTTCATCACTCGCCTTTTCAGTGTTCTGCGTTACGAGTCCATGATCCATGAGTTTGATCCTTACTTCAATTACCGCACTACTCTCTTCTTGACCCAGAAAGGTTTTTATGAATTCTGGAACTGGTTTGACTCTGAGAGTTGGTATCCACTTGGACGAATCATCGGAGGCACTCTCTACCCTGGTCTCATGGTCACTGCCGCTATAATTTACTGGGTTTTGCGGTTTTTGAGGTTTGCTGTTCATATTCGCGAGGTCTGTGTGTTAACAGCTCCATTTTTCGCATCGAATACTACATTGGTTGCTTATTTCTTTGGTAAAGAGATTTGGGATTCGGGTGCTGGTCTCGTTGCTGCAGCATTGATCGCCATTTGTCCTGGCTATATTTCAAGATCCGTAGCTGGATCATATGATAATGAGGGTGTTGCGATTTTTGCCCTGTTGTTAACATTTTACTTGTTCGTGAAGGCTGTGAACACTGGGTCTCTTGCATGGTCTCTGGCTTCGGCTTTTGGTTACTTCTACATGGTTTCGGCTTGGGGTGGTTACGTGTTTATAATCAACTTGATCCCACTTTATGTGATGGCTCTTTTGATCACGGGACGGTATTCGATGAGGCTGTATATCGCCTATAATTCCATGTATGTGCTGGGAATGTTGCTTGCAATGCAGATTCGGTTTGTAGGATTTCAGCATGTGCAGTCTGGAGAACATATGGCTTCCATGGGCGTGTTTTTCTTGCTGCAGGTTTCTTCCTGACACTTGACTCATTTCTCTTTATCACCTCATTGAGTTGCTTGCAGTGTGGCAAAGAAGTTTGAAGCTAACGCTTACTAGCGGTTTTGCCTAATATGACGCTTTTAGAAGTTCTATGAATCTGTATCAACACTTTGCATGAAAGGGATTTAATCACGTGAAGAAAGCACTTTTTCTGGATGTTTTTCACATTGGTATTTTGTTTGTTTGTCATTCTTTTCCCTTCTAAATTATTTTATTCTAATTTGATTTACTGCTGGTTGACTAGCTTTTGGTTTCATGCCTAACCTTCCTAGTAAATTGGCATCTGTGGTCATATCAATGGTACAGATTTCCTTGATAAAGTTAGGCTGCAAATTTTCTTGTGATGCTAACTTGGATTAACTTCGCAGGTATTTTACTTTTTGGATTGGGTGAGGTATTTGCTTAGTGACACAAAATTGTTTCAAGCTTTCTTGAGGATCACTGTAACTTGTGCAGTTAGTGTTGGTGCCATTGCTTTGGGAATAGGCACTGCATCTGGTTATATTTCTCCATGGACTGGCAGGTTTTACTCGTTGCTTGATCCAACATATGCTAAGGACCACATTCCAATCATTGCATCGGTTTCTGAGCATCAGCCAACTGCTTGGTCATCTTTCATGTTTGATTTCCATATCTTGCTATTTCTTTTCCCAGCTGGACTCTATTTTTGCTTCAAGAGGTTGTCAGATGCCACAATATTTGTGGTTATGTATGGTCTTACGAGCATGTATTTTGCTGGTGTTATGGTCCGATTGATTCTTGTTGCTGCGCCTGCAGTATGCCTCATTAGTGCTATTGCAGTGTCTGCCACTGTGAAGAACTTGACTCACCTGGTGAGGGGCAAAAGCAAAACTTTGCAAGGTGGTTCTACCAAAGGAACTAGTGCCACTAAAGGTTCACCCAAGGTGAGATTTTTTGGAGCAACTTGCATAGCAAAGGTTCTTCTCATGGGTTGCATCATATCTTCTTCATTTTTCCTAAGCTTCCAGTCTACTAGTGAATCTTTAAGCTGTGGGTTTAAATGTTGTGCATAAATTATATATACAATCAGTTGGCTCTAAATTATAATTTTTTTACGAGTGGAATATAATCTGGATGCCCATTGAATCTTGATATCATTTAAATGTTACCAAAATGGGTAATGCAGATGGTAATCCAGTTGATGCCATGTTCTTTCGTTGCAACTAGCAGTTCTTTTTGACTTCATTAGTTGATATAATTTCAGCTAGAATCTTAGTGGTTGTTGTTATGTAGTTAAGATGGTTTTTTTGTCTCTCAATTTGGGTGATAAGCAGCTTTCCTACTGTTATTGTGGTGATCATAGCTTATCGTTATTACTCATCAACAGCGTGTAGTTGATCATTCCCAGCCTTTCCAAAGAAATGGTTCTATTATGTTACTTCTTGGTGCTTTCTACCTACTCAGTAGATACGCCACTCACTGTACCTGGGTCACATCAGAGGCTTATTCATCTCCGTCAATTGTCTTGGCTGCAAGGGGTGCTCATGGCAATAGGGTCATCTTTGATGATTATCGTGAAGCTTACTTTTGGCTGCGCCAGAATACTCCACAACATGCTAAGGTGATGTCATGGTGGGATTATGGTTACCAGATCACTGCCATGGGAAATAGAACTGTTATTGTTGACAATAATACCTGGAACAATACACACATAGCAACTGTTGGGCGTGCAATGTCTTCTTATGAGGATGAGGCTTATGAGATTATGAGATTGCTTGATGTAGATTATGTGTTAGTTGTCTTCGGTGGTGTTACTGGGTATTCTTCTGATGATATTAACAAGTAAGGCCATCTGATAAATTTTATATTTTGATCTCCAATATCTTTTAAATATTATTTTGTGCATGTAGCAATTTTTTTCTTGGGTATTGATCATTTTCATCTTTAGGGGTTTTGTCATGCTCCTTACTGTCCTTTCAAACGTGGTGTGTAATCTAAACTTCACACTATTCTTAAAATAGGAGATTTTTTTGACCTTCTATAACCATGTTGATGCATTTATTTTGGGCTTTATATACATTTTTAAATGTTTGGGCAAGACACTAGGAGTGGGTTATGATTTTTTGGCCCTACACCAGTAGTTTTCGTTTTGTGGTTTGGACAAATATCTTAGGGTTGCCCGCGATGGTTCTCTTGTTGCACTGATAGATTGGTCGTTGCATACACCTACTGATTGTCTTCACTATTTCCACTGGCAGTGTTTTGTTATCTTCTCTTTTATATGCTTCTTACATTTGTTATATGATATTCTTAACTTTGTGTAGATTTCTGTGGATGGTAAGAATTGGTGGTGGAGTTTTTCCTGTAATAAAGGAGCCTGATTACCTTGTTAATGGGGAATATCGTGTAGATAAAGGTGCAGCCCCCAAGATGTTGAACTGTCTCATGTAAGTGTCTTAGACTGCTAGTTGGGCATGGCCTTTTAAATTGTATTTTAATTCCAGTGATTCCGTTGGATTGGAGTTTTGTTTTGATTTTAGTAGAATTACTGTGGGTCCATAAGTCAATAACAACAAACCTTATCTTACTAGGTGGGGATTGGCTACATGAATTGCATAACGCCATTATGCTTTATTTTGGTTTCTTCTTGTATTATATGCTTTATTTTTGAGTATTTGTCAGTATGTGAATTTGGTTCCTTATCATGGCAAATTTGAATTCTATGTTATATTGCTGTCATCTTTCTAATAATATATAAATTAGATAACACATAGATATAAATTTATAACATAATATCAAATTTTGCATATATTATTTTATTAATTTGTCTGCCATCATTGAAGCAGACATACTGCAAATATCTGGGTGACGTAAGTACATGAGATGATCATAGTATTGTGCATAGATAGTTGTGTTCAGTTAGCCATTTGAATCAGATGAAATCAAAAGTTCAGGTCTCTTGTCATTGCCGATGAGTAAGATTGATGATTTGATGTAAACACTGTGTTACAGATTGCAGTCTTCGTTGTCCCCTCTCAAACCCAAAACTGCAGAAAGGGAAGGGGAAGAAAAAGAAACGGAAGGATAAAAACATTGGGAAAGGCTGGTAAAACCAGTTGCATTATGTCTTTGAAGTCAAGGATATTCTTTCGAAAAAAAAAAAGATATATTAGGTTTGATTTTTAAAGTATGATCTAAACTTGGAAAAACTGAAGTTGGATTATGCCCTCAGGAATTCCCAAGCTAGCTCAGAATTTCTGCTCCCCCTCGGAAATGCTTTAGCTTGACTTGAAATGCATAAACTACTCTTTTACCTACGTCTAAGGCTAGGTATCTAAGTTTACTGGGTATTTTAGCGCGTCAGCAGCCTGGATCAAGGTGTCCAGTTATTAAAAGAAGAAGGGTAGGAAAGTGTTGAGGGAAATGTACTTTTACTGATATTTTAGTTTAATTGTAGAGGGACATAATTTGATACATTCTATGTGGTGTGACTTCCTGATACGCAGTGAGATAATATTATTTCTTAATCTTTTTTGTCAGGTATAAGCTCTGTTACTATCGGTTTGGGGAGATGACAACAGAATATGGAAAACCACCTGGGTAAGTTTTATGCCTTTTAGGTTTGACATTATGAAGGGAACTTCATTGTTTTACTGATATTCAGAGGTCTGAGTGCACCAAACCGAAAGATGGAGTTATTCAGATTGGGTATTTGAAATATCTGTGCTGGTTGATTAGTCAAATGGAGATTGTGCTTCTTTTTCAAAGTCCTAAATAAGTCAGTTTTTATCACATTAATCAGTTTCAAGTCGTTCTTGTTGGACATTATTTTATAATCCAAGGATGAGCAAAGAAAAGCCCGAGTTAGGGATGGTGCTTGAAGTTCTTAAGTTTGAGTGCTGGTCCGAGTCTACGTTTGTGTGAACTGTAAATCATTTAGGATTAATGGACGAACTAAGCCCGAGGGATAACCATGATGTATAATTTTAAGGCTATGTAGATCTTTCCTTGGCGACTCTTTACCTTGGCTTTAGGGTCAGTGGTGAAATTTCTTTCTTATCAACAAAGTTATTTGAAGTTCTTGTGCGAACTTAGTCATGAGTCTACTTTCTAGTTTGGTGTCCTTGTTTTAATGAATAGCTAAAGGTGAGTATATAGTGTGAGAAAAAGCTGGGAAAAAAAGTTCAAGTGGTTGTTCACATCTAAATAGACATAGGTAGCATATTGAAAAAAAAGTGACTGAAATACCCGTACTTGTTACCCCCACAATCTTCTCCTTTTCTTCCTGTTCTGTATCCTTCTGTCTGGGTCTTTTAGAAGAGGCATATTGAGTCATGTTTGATTGGGCTCTTGAATGAGGAATGTGCTAGTGAATTAGTAATTAACAGGTTTTGTCTAGAGGAAGTTTTCAACCTGAATGAAGTTTCGAAACCGAGAGGGAGCAATTAGTGTTGTGTGTATGCTTTAACATATTCTGTTCAAGTGATGCAAAATTGTGTTTATACTCTCATATTTTGAAATGGCAGGTATGATCGTGCTAGAGGAGTTGAAATTGGAAACAAAGACATCAAACTAGAGTACTTGGAAGAGGCATTTACCACACAGAATTGGATTGTTCGTATTTATAAAGTAAAACCACCTAAAAATAGGTGGTAAGCCCAGCTCTTGACCCCCCTCCATATGAGAGAGAGAGAGAGAGAGAGAGGTCAACCTCTTTTTTATTTTTTATAATTCCTGAGGGAAGTTACGACACCGTAGTCTGTAGTGATCTCGAGGCTAGAAAAGACTGCTGGTTTTGCTATAGATTTCAGTAGACTGAAGTAAATTTTGAGGTGAGCATGTCTAGAATTCTGTTCAAAATATTCATGGAACCAGTTCTCTGAGATACTAAGAGCATGTTTGGTTTCTGATTTCAAACAGTTTTTTTTTTTTTTTTTGTAAAAACTTGTTGAGACAAGTGTTTTGAATTTAATTGTATTTAAAACTATTCTTTTTTTTGTTTCTCAAAAACAAAAACTGTTTTCATTTTTTTTTATTTTCAAAATATATTATATTTCACTATTGAAAACAAGGTTGTCCAAATAGCCTGATGGCCCAATATGCTCGGCCCTACCCGAGCTGTTTGGGCTCACCGAGTCCCACCTTGCCTTATCCATGCCAATCCAATGCCTTTTTGGGGTCAGATTTGGTCCAATCAGTAAACAATCAGAGCCTTTTTTTTTTTTTTGAAAAATATGCACAAATTTTTCTTGAAAAACTATAATTATTATCATTTAAAATATATTTTTTTAATAAAATTAATATTAGAATGAAAAGTAATTTTTTAAAAATTACATATGATGAACAATTATCAATTATTTTTACTTAACATCAAGTTGAAAACAAATTTTAAATTTTTGAAAGAGATTAAAAAAATTACAATGATAAGGAATGTTTAAAAAGATCAAAAAAATAATACAGTACGTGTTGACTCAACCAAAAATAATATCGTAAAATAAATGTTATTTATAAGAAATAGCACATGCTTGGTTTGGTCTAAGCTGAGCAAACTGGGACCTCGGCTCGATGCTTAATCCGATGAGCTTCAATGACTTAAGCCGGGCCAAGTTCACCGAGCTTTACAATGTAAACATTGCACAGCCCTATTGCCAAACATTTATGTATTTTTTAAATATTTCAGTGAAGAATAATTATTTTATACTACTAGTTTTTTTACAAATTTCAAGTAATATCTTGTTTTTATGATTATCATAGATATTTTTTTATGATTTTTGTTTTTTAATCATTTTCAAGATTTTAAAGCAATTTTAAGTTAGTGAGATATAAAAATAATAAATAATTTTTTTTCTCATATATGGTTTTAAAAATTATTATTTTTCACCCTAATGTTAGTTTCACATAAAATGTATCTTAAATGAAGATTATTTTTTAATTATGTAAAAAATATTTCTTTTAAGTTGGGCCAAACCTGACCTGACCATTCAGGTATCGGGCAACCTGAAATACACACCGGCCAAGCATCAGGCTATGGTGATGACCAGCCCATGTACATTTCTAATTGAAAATTATAATTATTTTGATTAATTATTATCATAAGCCACAATCATTAATTACTGGTCACCATCATTATCAATCAATTTTTAATTTTAAAATTATTTTTAAATTAACACAATTAAATATTTTTTTGGTTTTGAAAAATAATTTTAAAAATTATATTGCAAAATAGTTCTTAAAAAGGAAAACGAGACGCAAACAACCGAGTCTTGTTTTTTTTTTAAAAAAAAAAAAGCTATGGACTTAGTCAATTTGTAGTCAATTCTTTGTTTGGTGATCCATTATACAATTGGACTCATTTTCATTTAGAAAGCAGTTGATGTTACTACTCTTATCTCAGATTTCGACCCCTTGATAGGATCCCAACGAGGCGTTTGGTCATTTAAGAAGGAAACCAAACATGACAAAAACCACCGAAAGGAACTGTTTTTTTTTTAATAGAGAAATTAAAAAGTAGATGATTATTTTTTTTCTTGGTAAAAAGGAAGATATGCTAATAATAAAATAAAGGTTTACAATGTTAAAGATAAAATAGAAGCATTAGGAGACGAAAAGTCATTCAGAAAAGCTATATGGACCACATGTTTTAACAGCAAAAATGTTGAAGTTATCCAAAAACTTTCAATATCCTGATCCACCAAGTATTGTTGGCTAGAGCAAAAGCAACCACCTTTGTTGCAGGGAAAATATCAATCAAGAATTGCTTAAAGAAATTTAATATTAGTTAAAAATTATTTATTATTAAAATTTAAATAGATATTTATTAATTCAGGTTAGTTTTTTATTAACAAATATTTATTTAAATTTTAATAATAACTTATTCTAAATTAATAATAGTGCATTCAAACTTTTTTTCATTTAAATTTTAATAATAACTAGTCATTAATTGATATAAATTTTTTCTAAAGGTCCTTCGTTGCTATTTTCTCTATGTTATATCTAATTCTCAAATTTCCAAAGCTTGCAACCTTTCTAAAATGATTTATATTTCAAAGAGAAATTCCTGATCCTGAACAGGATACTACTAACACAATGATTAGTGAGAATTATATTTTTAAAATGGGCTGTAAATATGTGTGTAATAAGTATAATATAAATGCTTTATTTAAAAAAAAGAGAAAAGAAAATCACGGCCTTTAATGATCAGTGACAAGGATTGATTCTCCATTTATCAGTACATTTCTTTCACATGTCTACGAATTCGTTCTGTCATGTGATAAATCAAACACCAAACTCTTTTAAATGAATGGATAAAAGGGTATCATGCAACACTACACAACCTGATTTTTAACTTTTTTAAAAAAATATAAATAAATAAAACTATTAACAATTATGAAATGTTTTCTTTCGTGCCTAAGTGAATGACGTGTGATATACACACACACAATCCTCTCCTTACGGTAAGGTATTTCAGACATTTTTACCTTCATTAAGAAAGGTTGCCACATGAATTCATTTATTAAAAAATATCCAAATATCCAATTATATCTCTATTCATTTTCATTCTTTGTAAAAAAAAAATCATAAAACCTTGCTTGAAGCATGAAATCACTACTAAAATTCTAGGTATAAAAGGAAAAAATCTTTTGATATTTTAACACAATACTTTATAAATTAGATCAACTTTATCTTAAAAAAAAAAATACTTTGTATACATAACTGGAGGGTCCGTGTGTCTATGCATATTATAATAAAAATCTATATATTCACTGCTTATAAAAAAAAATTATATATTCACTATATAGTCAGAGTAAACTAAAAAGCTTCAAAAGTTTGAATGAAAGTAATGATGAGTACCATTTGATTAATTAAATGTAAATTACATGCTCATGGGTAAATGTTTGTACATTAATGGAAGATAAATGGCTTCAAATAAAGATCTCCTAACCAATAAATAATCCTATGGCAGTATTAGTGGTAGGTCAGGCAAGTACAATAGCAATGACGCTGCCATAATTTGTTAGGTGACAAATCATATCCAATCTTATTTAAATCTGCCAAACACTTGGAAACTTCTATCTACTATTTTAATTGATTTGAGATAGAGCTAGAAATCAAGAATTTTTTTTTTATACTCATATATTAGGCAATAGAAAACAAATTGCAACCGTCTATAAAATTAACATTTCCTTTCGTTTCTTTCTCCCCCCACCCCATCTCATCTATTCACTATCCTTTATCTCTCCTTGAACACATTATATACATTCATTATAATAAATATGAAAAAAAAAATCAAATTTGCTATATCTATCAAATTCAGACCTGAATATTCTCCATTTCTCTACTCTAGGTCTTATGGGGAAAAAATATTAGTGCATAAGAATGCAATGCTATACAGCAATCAAATTCCGTTCCAATTAAATCAATACCTTCAATTGAAAAAAAGCACACGTCACAGAGAAATTACCAAAATGGACACCTATATAGGCCACTGCCTTGCAAGGCAGATGAAAAGATTGCAATCTGAATATTAAAATTTATAGATCAGAATCAGATTCCATAGTAGCAATTGTAATAACAAAAATGGAAACCGAGGCCACATGGTTCCAAATATAAAAGGTCTCAAAAAATAAATCATAATAGATACACATTTCCAATAAGAATGATGAAGTGGACAAAATGACATTTAACTTGATTCCATCTATTTAAAAATTCATTTTGGACTTTCATATATAACTGAACTACCAATAAAGGATGGACTACACTCATATCATTGCTACATTTGCCAGAAACTAGTTGCAGCCTTTTGTCATGGAAATTTCCCCAGCTCCATGTCCTGCACATTTTTAATACTTTTTGGGGACGACACCATGATCCATCCACCCCTTGTTATCCTATGCCTGAAATAAATATTCTAACCCTGTATTTTGATTTTTTTTTCTTTTCTCTCTTCAAGCTTGATCAACAGAAGGAATACATCTTGTAGTTTTTTTCCCCCTTACCTTTATGTAGTGTCAAAAAATAAATTGGCTCAAAGAATGGGAATGGATTACCCTAATCAAGGGCAGCTTTGCTCCTGCGACCAGTTATCGGTATAGGTAAGCCATCAAAGATAGGTTTGGCGATAGATGCAGTTGAAAGAGCTTGCAAGTCTGGTTTCAAACTCCATCCAGTTGGCCAGACTGTTGCTGAGTTATTCTTTTCCTGCTCCTTAAAGCTTGATGTACTTGAAGATTTATGCACAGTAGAAAGTCCATCAATCATTATAGATTCTCCCAGCCCTATTGGAATTGAATCTAAGGATCCTGACTCTGACTCAGAATGTAGCAGATTTCGGCTAGCTGATTTTGGCCTCATGGCTAAGCCTTTCCCTGTTGAAGGAGAGAAACCACTGGTCCCACCAGTGTTTTCTTCTTTCCATAGCTTTTCCGGGGTACCAGCTCCACTATCAACTTCAGGTTTCTGTCGTCTGCGGACAGATTTCTCATCTGACTTATCACCTCCTCCATCCCCAATTTCTACAAGAGGTACATACTCAGGCACTGCACTGTTCCCAGTGAGTAAACCAGGTGGCATATCTGACATTGGCGAGGCTTTGGGAAGCCAATCCTCTCTGAAATAATTTGAACCAGTAGATGAATATACTGCCATTTCTGTTCCTTCAGATGTACCCCTGGGATTTAAAGATTTGAGCCCATAATATTGCTGTAAGGTGGTCATTGTTGGTGACATGCTCTGTCGGGGAGCTTTCAGTCTCAGAGACTGGAAAGCTTCCTGCATACCCGATTGACCTATATGAGGAGGTCTCCTGTCTGGGCGATCATCCCTGCAAAATTAGTAAAAATGAGTTTTTTATATTCCTTGAAGTTTTCAAATTAAGTTGACTGGTCAGTGAAGTTAAGTAATAAAGAAACGAAGTAACCTTTAAGTAATATACTTACCACGTCAAGCTAATTGAACTCATTTATTCAAAAAGGAAGAAAGTTTCCAGAAAAGCATATTAAGTTCAAATAAGTCAACAAAATTTCAAATAGTAGCATTCAATTAAATGACAAAGTTACAGCATATTAAAGCAATGAAGCATCCAATAGGCTCCAGAACAAAACCAATAGACAATAAGTGGAGTCCAAAAAAGAATGCAAGCTGACACAAAGGCTAAAAAGTTCCCAAGAAGTGACATTAGAATATATAAGAGCAACACTATCTTGGCTGTGAAACGAAAATCATACAGACAGCAAGATGGAGCTCTGGCAACATCAACTTTTGGCTTCTAGGAAATAGTTCAGGCACTTGTATGGTCCAGCAAAGGGAAATCTTTGCTTTGTTGTGAAGTGAATGGTGAATCATATGATCAATGAACTGTGGAGCTGAAAATTTTACATTTACAAATTTTTCTTGAAACATGTGTAAGAAATTCAACACAATCGAATAAAAAGGAAACATATCATGCCTTCAAACTCTAAAAGAAGTAGATTGTTCGACTACATAACATGCCAATGAATTGGCATTTAAAAAAAAAAAATCCATGTTTACATGCAAAAGCACTAAAGAAAAGAGGATTTTAATTATTGCAAGATCTAAGAAATAAAAGCATATTTGCACCCGAACTTGGCAGATCCATTAGGTTGACTAGATGATGGCAGATGTCGTCCTGGTAATGGAATCCGCAATACCTTCATTGCAAACATTTGAAGATCCGTGGCTAGCCCATTCATCCTTTTAATGTCAGCTACCTAAACCGTTACAAGAAATTTTTTATGAACTATTATAGATTAATACTTAAGCAATCAATAATCCATTCATCCAGTTCAAAGCATAAAAATATGACCATTTCAAAGAACAAAATGATATTTGAGAGTGAATTTAACAGAATAGATTCTTTTCCTCCCTTTTCCACATTAAGTCCTCTTTTGTTCCCTTTCTTATTATCCAGTTCTCCAAACCCTTTAATTCCACTAATTAGCTAACATATCAGAGAAGTGTAAAACGAAGAACAAAAAGACAAATCGCTAATTGAATCGTTTCAAGTGACTCTTTCACTGCAGCTTAGTCATGCAAATATTAATTAACCATCCCCCTTCCCTGAAAAAAAGGAAAAATCAGACCACTTTGAGAAATTTTACAACATGCGCATAATCGATGCGAAATTGCTAATTGAATCGTTTCATATTATTCTTTCCTTTTTTTTTTTTTGGACAATAATCCAAGTGTTTCATTATATCAGCTTAGTCATGAAAATACCAATTAATCACCATCCTTCCAAAAAAACCAGATCGACTTTAAGAAGTTTAGCAAATTGAGCATAATATCTTTATCTTCGTCGTCAACGAACATAGCACTGCACAAGTTGCATGCTTTGGGGAGCAATTACCAGTACACAAATCATCAATAAAAATCCGGAAAATTTACAAGACTCTTCAAAATCACAAGGAAAATGCCCACTAAATTTGGAAACGAGCAATAGTACCTCAACGCCATACTTGATGGCCACACCGGCAAGAGTGTCAAATTTGGAAACCCGGTGCTCTATATAATTGAGCCCACCACCAACGGCCTCTCCGTTCTGCAAACCATTCGAGGGAGACATGAACTCCGATCGCCCACCACCGACACCAAGATCTACAATCTCAGGCAGGAAGGTTCAGAGACACAGACATACATGCACATAAAAGGGTGAGAGATGAGGGAAATGAAACGGGATCAATGCTAGAGGGGAAAATTTCCTCTAGTAGTGGAATTGAGCAGAGAAAATTTTGACTTCAGAAAAAGTAAAAGAGAGAAAAATGGAGAAATCGGAGAGAAGAATAATGGGATGAAACTGTGGTGGTGATGGTTTGGTAAAGAGGATTTGCCTCCCCTAAAAGTTTCTCCTCATGGATTTTGACTCGTTTCCACCACGCTGAATCTATTGCCTACGCCTGCTTTTATACTCTCTTTAGTTTTTTCTGCTGTTAATTAATAAGATTACAAAATATGAGAATCCTGTAATTTGCTTATGTAGATACGATAATGAAGGCAAATGATACCGAACCTAATTTTGAGAAATTTTTTCTCTTTTTTTCTCTCTCACAAGTTAAACTTTTTTTCAGATAATAATTTCTTTTAAAAAAAACATATTTTTTTTTAAAAAATAAAAAGTTGTATTGTTGGAGTTGAACCCATGAACATTGAACAATGTGGTGTATGCTCTAACATCTACAAGAAATAAATATGATTAATAATAATAATTAATAACAATTAATAATAAATTAAAATATACTTTTAATCTTTTAACTTTATATAAAATTTTAATTTAATAATTTAATTTTATAAAATATATTTTTTATTTTTTATCCATAATATTATTAATTTTAAATATTTTATGAATATTTAAAATTTTAATGTAAAAATTTATTAAAATAAAATTAATAATATTAGAGTTAAAAAACAAAAAACATGTTTCATAAAATTAAAGGATTAAAATAAAATATTATATAAAATTAAAAAATTAAATATATATTTTAACTTTACTAATAAATTGAAGTGATTGTGTCAGACATGAGTGACTAAGAATACAGCTTCATCTTCTTATGAGTTCTGCTGCTTGGCGAATCAAAATTGTGAGCTAAATTATTATTATTATTATTATTATTAAGTTAACAATTTCGAAGGACCACTTCACCCCTTTTCATTTTGATAAGTATGAGTGAGGTTTTTTTATCTTGTTGTTTCCTTTTTTATTTGCTAACATAATTGTTTTTTTAGTTAAAAAAAAAGTATGAGTAGGTTTTGTCCAAGCAAAAAAATTCTCTCAAGGTATTGAGAGCAATAAATAATAGGTAGATATCTTCCAATGATATAAAAACTTATATAAAGATTGAGACTCAAACTCCCAATCACTTATGAAAATTTTTTAGGTAAATCTTAATATATTACCAATAAAAATATAACATTCAGATAACATTAAATGAAAATTGATTCTATTATTAATGATAATTTAGAAACAAAAGGTAAAACATTAAATAAGCATTTTTTTATAAGAATAAAGTTATTAAAAATAATGACATGTATTTTATTTGATTAAATTAATACATTTTTATTAAATGGACTATGGATAACATAATATATTGAATTTACCAAAAAATTTCTTACCACTTACTCAAATAACATGTCACTTTCTTGCACAGACCTATGCAATTTTCTAGTTATTTTAGATTATATAAAATTTAAATTAGATCAATAATTATATCCATAAAAATAAAATTCAAAATTAATTAAAACTCTACTTTCTATAATATTTGCAAAATTTATTTATTTTGAAAATGGTAAAACTTTATGTATGTTCCAAAAATAAAAATGCTCACATAATTCTGACTAAATTTGAAGAAAAATAATTTATTCTTTCTTGTTAAAATGATTTTAAAAAGAAAAAAAAGTCCATGATGTATTAATTTCAACCTTGCAAATTTATGCCTAGTATCATGCATTAATCAGTGTATCATATCTATACATATATATATATAATATAAAATAAGCAATAAGACGTACAATCTTTTTTTTTTCAAAATTATATTAAAATGCCTAGTTGCAATTTCTCTTGCCAGCTAGTCACAATACTTTCTCCCTCTCATTTATAAATTACTTTTAATATTTTTAAAAAATTAATGAAAATTTTAAAATATATTAAATATTTTAAAAAATTTTAATAAATTTTTAATTAGGTCTATTAAATATTATATATACTTTAATAAAATATTTTCTTTCACCAAAATTTAATAAGGTGTAAAAAGAAAAATTTTGTGATAAAAATTTAATTACATACTCCCCCATATTCAAATGTAAAAAAATTAATTAATTCACATAGTTTAAAAAGTTCACTAAGAATAATAATTATGTTTAAAATTAAAAAAATTAAACTAAAATATTTTCTTCTTGATGAGAACTAAAATACTATTTTAATTAATTTTTAACATGTGAAAGAATCGAGTTTATCTTATGAAAATAAACTTTAACTTTATGAGAGACAATTTTTTTTTAAAAAAAAGTGATAATGCTACTTAAAATTTGTAATTCTGTTGGTAAAAGAATAACGTAACACGTGACAGTTTCTTTGAAAAAAAAAAAGACAAATAAAGTGTCTTATAAAAATAAATCAAAAAAATTTCTAACTTTCTCCCTCTTATAAATAACACCCAAGCAAGTAAATATTAAGATAGCACAATGTTACTAATCTACTCAACTTGTAAGTGGTCTAGTGTCTTATAATTATGATCTTGTAACCTAATAGCATTTAAGCTTTTACTATGTAAGTGAAAGGTTAAAAGTTCAATCTCGTTTATAATTTTAATTTATTAGTAACTGTCCCTCTAATAAAAACAAGAAAAAGGGGAAAAAAACAATCAAACGGGGAAATGTAAAGTGCAGAGATGTACTATAAGTAACGTGTTTTTGGTTCAGGCAGGACGAAAGAGAGCAACGACACAATGGCGATTCCCAAACCCAGCCAAATTTGCGGGAAGCTTTATTTGGGACCACTTTTGATTGTAACAGTTCCTACCCATTCTTCATGGCGTCGGCAATATTTTTACAAGACATTTTATTTTTATATTTCCGAGGATATTCCATATATGGCCAAATAAAAAGGAATTTTTTTTGGTAGGAAAATAAAAAGGAATATTACTTTGGCTGTGTCAGTCATAAAACAGGGCCCACCATTCTTATGTCTCTCATGATTCTCCTGAATTTAATTTATTATTAAGTCTTACTGTCCTTCTCTTTGTATGTTTGTTTATTATTTTCTTTAAATGCTACAAATTGACCCACTATTAAAACTTTTAACTTTAATACCAAACTAATTAAAGAATATAATTTTCTTATTAGTTAAACCAAACAATCAATAGTTTTGTCATTAACTTATTGATCTTTTTGAACACATTTTTCTTATTAGTTTTGCATATAAGATTGAAATCAAAACACGGACATATGTTTACGTAGAATTTTGTTAGAAGAATTTCAAATAGGGATTATAAATGTGATTTGATTATTAATAGGTTAAAAAAATTTTGAAATTTCAGTTCAGCAGAATAAAATTAAAAATAATTTTAACTGTGGAAAAATTAAAGTAGACTTTATTTATTATTGTATAAAATTATTAGTTGTTAATTTTTTTACTTTACTTATTAATTTACTAATATTACTTGTAAATTACATCTGTTGTCAGACAAACAATAAAAGTAGTTATTTATTTTCTAACTTTACTTGTTAATTTACTAACATCAATTATAAATTACAAGATTTATCAATAATTTATAATTAATATTAATAAATTATAAAATATATTAGTAATTTACAATTGATATTAGTAAGTTAATAAGTTGAGTTAGCAATTCAACAACTAATATTGTTACTTTTGATTGAATAATTAATGTTAAATCTTATATAATTATAAGACTTGTTAATAATTTGTAGCTCATATTAGTAAATTAAAAAGTGAAGTAAGAAAATTAAGGACTAATGATTATACATAATATGCAAAAGGTGTTTTGATCTTTTTATAATTAAAATTTTTTTTACTTCTATCCTCTTGACTAAATTGAAATTTTATAATTTTTTAAAATTCAGTAATAATTAAGTCACATTTTTAATCTTTATTTAAAATTCTCTCCGTTTTTTTTAATACCATTGAGAACCTAAAAATCTTATGGAGATGTATAATTTTGCGGCACAATGTTAGGAAAGTAAGTTGACTATCCTCTCCAAGATAATCGAAAGTTGGCAAGTAATTTGGGGGGAAAAAAGTCATCAAGCTAATAGGCGATAACCAAGTGTAGGTCTATACACAGTTTCGCTCGCCTTCCAACTTCAAAATCGGAACTAGAGTGTCCAACTTAAGGAACCGACTTCGCCGGATTTTAAAGCTGATGAATAAAATATATGAGATGAAATACTATATTATGAAAATTTAAGTTAACTCGCTCAATTGAATAAATAAATTATTAAATTAATATTTTAATTAATTTAATAAGATATTTTGTTTATGATCAATTTAATTATTATTTAACTATAATTTTAACTATTAATTATTAAATTAATATTTTAACTGCTTTAACGATAAATCTGTTCTTTAGTGTGTTGCTTTATGCTTGCCACAGGAAAGAGATGAAAGGGCGTAATCGTATTTTCATATTTGGTGGTCCAAGATGCTGGCAAACAGGATGTCAAGAACTCCATTTTATCCGGCAGGTTACAATGGTCCTGACACTCTGCTTCACGTAGCACGTGTTACGCAAGCGAGAAGAAAGAATGACGCATAGGATGGGTGGGCCCCTCCTAACAGTTTGGAATCAATTTCACGTAGAGTGAGGAAAATGAATTGATTTCGTGAACTAGCTCATTTAATTCATTAATTTTAATAAATTAAATTAAAAAATGATTTATTTTTGAAAATGAGCTAGCCTGAAAATGGGCTAACCTGCAGATTAAATAGTTTGACCCATAAGTTAGCTTATTTTTTTTAAAAAATTAATTTATTTTTTAATTAAAATATATCTTTTTATAAATCTACAATAATGACAATATTTCTCAAATCAATAATTTATTACTCTCAAATATGTTCTTTATATTTAAAAGATATAATGTAAATCTTTATTATAATTTGAAAATAAAATTTTTATTATTATTTGTAAATTGATGATTTCTTAGTTTTTATACAAATATTTTGAATATATATTATTTATTAATCTCATGACATCTATTGATTGAAATCACAAATATTAATTCATTAAAAAATAATATGAATTTATATTTAAATTTTATTTCTCAATGAGAAAGATAACATATCTAGATAAGAGGATGATTACCAGTAAAAATTTAGCAATTTTTTTAATATTTTGGCTTCATTTTTCTATTTGATTCTCAATCCATAGGAAGGA